CTTGTCATGCATCCACAGATGCATCTCAACCAGGTCCAAGGTGATCCTCCCCCTCTATGCAGCACTGGTTAGGCTGCAGTTGGAGTACTGCGTCCAGTTCTGGGCACTGCACTTCAGGAGGGATGTGGACAACATGGAGAGGGTCTGGAGGAGGGCCACTCACATGATCAGGGGGCAGCAGGGCAGGCCCTACGAGGAGAGGCTACGGGACCTGAACCTGTTCAGCCTCCACAAGAGAAGGCTGAGGGGGGATCTAGTGGCCTGTTACAAACTAGTCAGAGGGGACCGGCAGGCACTGGGGAGTCCCTGTTCCCCCAAGCACTACCAGGAGTGACCAGGAATAACGAGCGCCTCACAAGCTGGCAGAGGGTAGATTCAGACTAGACATCAGGAGGCGCTCCTTCACTGTCAGGGCTGCTAGGATCTGGAATCAACTTCCAAGAGAAGTCATGCTGGCTCCTACCCTGGGGGTGTTTAAGACAATGCTAGATGAACACCTTGCTGGGGTCGTTTGACCCCAGTACTCTTTCCTGCCATGGCAGGGGGTCGGACTTGATGATCTGCTCAGGTCCCTTCCAACCCTACTAACTATGAAACGTGAGATGGCCTCAGGGAGACAAAGGAGGCTAGAACTATCAAGCTCTGTATTAACTTTGCACAGGGTTCTCCATAATGGGGCTGGGGAGAAGGAGAACTTTGCCAGGACATTGTTTATTTACTTTTAATATAAGCTTCATGGGAAAATAAAATTTGTGATTTAAAAGATTTGTTATCTTAGCATTTCAGACAGTTCTCTAACTACAATATTGGGTAAACAGTTAAGTTTTCCATTTGAGTTTATTAAATAATTTACCTATAATAAAAAAGTAGACCTTTGGGGTCACAGAAAAATTGCAGAAAATGTAACCTGTACTTTAGAGGAGATCAATCTGTATATGAAACAAACATGCAGCAGAAAGTTTAAACTTGAGACTTACTAGAATAAACAAACAACTCTAGAGACTGACCACAAGACATGTTTTGTCTCCATTCTAAATGTGGTTAACAATAGAAAATTGTTACTTTCTCCCAGATATAATTTTTGACCTGAGAAAACAGGTAAATTGTAATACCGTGAAAATAAGTCACATCTTCCTAAATATTCCTACTTACATAATTATGCAAACAGATGACAGTTGTTTCAGACCCCCATGTTTTAAAAGGGAGAGAAAGTTGTATTTTGCAATCTTATTTCTTCTGCATTTTTAATTAGTTACATTACTATAACTGTGTCCACTTACAGGATGTAGTACTTTACAGACAAACTAATGCTCCTTTCCCAAAGATCTAGTGACCTTAATCTCTAATATTTTGTGGTTTCCTGTTTGAGGAAGTGATTGAACAGCAGCCTAAGCTGTTTAAGGCTGCAGAGTAACCACAGTTGGCTGCTCTCTATCTCCATTTTGAACACTGACTAAATCTGACACACTGATTCACTGACTAAAACACCCCAAAAGCTGGTAAGATAATGAAACATTGGTAAGGAAGTGCTGGATATTTCTTCATCTTCCTGCCTGAGTTTATAGGTAATTTGGAAAAAGCTTATGGCCACTTTAAAACAGTCATTTTGGCCCTGTGCAGTTTGCTGCATTATGGTTTTTTGCCTT